GGAAGTCTATACTGGAAACTTGACCATTGCAGCCATTGCTGGCCATTTGCTGCATTATTGTAAATGTGCTCCCAAGGACAGAAGCTCAGACTTGCAAGTCCAGCCTGGTTTTGTTGAGAGCAGTGAACTGAAGTCAGTCAATGGGAAAATGAGTCTTGGTTCTGCCTTTCCTGTAAATGTAAAGAGAAAGTGGCCAAATGGCCATTTAGGAGCAGAAGCCCAGAGGGGTGGGGAAGAGCCCATGTTTGATCTAAAGGCTGATGTAGCAGGAGGTCTAGAGGGAGGGACTTGTTCTGGTCCTTTAAAGAGACAAGGGAATGAAAGCATGACCAAGGGACTGGTGGGCAGTGATGACTTGCTCCAAGCCCTAGCATTGGATCTTAAAAAACACAAATGCCATTCCCATAAGAATAAAAAGCAGTTTCTTAGAGATTATTTTCATAAGAAACCATATCCTAGCAGAAAAGAAATAGAACTGTTGTCTTTACTTTTGGGGGTAGGGAAAATGAATGTCGCTTCATTTTTTCGAAAAAGAAGGTATATTTGCATGAAAACAATAGAAATGTACAAACCCACTGTACTTCTAGGCTTTGACATGTCTGAACTTGGAAATGTTAAACACAGGTTGAACTTTGAGTCTGAACCACAAAACTCAGCTTAAAGTCCTAGGCAGTGGTTTGTGTTGACTTTGGACACCCTCCTTTGCTCTGTTGTTGTGTATCTATGGCTCTGCAGTGTTCAGAAAGACTTAGTTAAGGAAGCAAACCCTACTTCAGATATAGTTTCCTGCAGTTCAATCTCCAGTGCTACCTCTGGGTTTTTTTTGTCATGTAAATTAAAATTTTGGTATTCCATATATGCCTTGTTTTCCTAGAAGCTTCAATACCAAATAATAAAACCCTGAGATTTACAAATACTTGCCTATTTGTTTTAGGAAGCATCTTGTTTGTGTACACTTTATTAGCTGAAAATTAGAGCATTGTTCTGCAGCTTTAGAGGCAGCAGCTAAGGACACAGTACATACCTAGAGACTCAAGTACTGTGATGTTTATGACTCCGTATGGACACATTTCTGAGCATTAACATCTGCTAATTCTATAAAAGCTATTTGCTTATGAGGTGATAATTTTGATTTGCATTTGTTCAGATTCTGAAAGGTTTGCCCGTGTGTAGACCATATTTGAAATGGAGCACAGATTTTAGGCTCAAAGTGAAGGCGGTAGATCAGGGGCTGTCTTGATGGTTGGAACAACTGGGTAGATGTGTTGGTTAAAACAAAGAGTTGGGAAAATGGGCTTTCCTCTGGCCCAGGTATCCAGATGAGTGGTATGGGGGATTGCCGAAGAATCTCGGTTGTATCATTGTCTTGGGGATGCCAACACTGTTTTCCAAATAACATAAAGTAAAGCACCAGATCTAATAATGTAAGCTTCAGTTCATATTGGGTGATGTGCGGGGAAGAGCTTGTCTCTCCTTTCAGGTGAAGTACTCAGAGGGTGTGAGGCCTCTGGGAACTAATACAGTGTTACTATGTGAATTAAAAAAGGAACATTTGCATATAATGTCTGTACTGTGCTTTTCGGCCTTGTGAATTTGTTCTATTGGGTGTGCTCTTGTCAATTCTGAGAGTTTGTTGGACTTTAAAAATCCCATTATGTGTGTCTGTTTTGAATTAAAAATTGTTATATCACTACCAATAAAAGTGAAGTTTTTTTTTTTTAATGAAAAAAGCTGTGTTTTAAAAGGAACTGTATAGGGGATTCATCATTATACACTGAATAAATAT